AAAGAATTCTACGGAGGTTCTTCTGGATAGCCTGAGACTTTCAAGAGCTTAACTTATTTTGATCAGTTAAAAAGGTAAATCATGAGCCGGGTGCTGAGGCTCATGCCTATAATCCTAGCTACTCAGGAGGCAGAGATCAGGAGGACCTTGGTTGGAAGCCAGCTCTGGGCAAATAGTTCCTGAGACCCTATCTTAAAAATATCCAATGCAAAAGGGCTGGAGGAGTGGCTCAAGCAGTCAAGTGCCATTTCTTTTTTTTTTTTTTTTTAGAGTAAATTTTTTTTTCATTGATATTTCATTTAACGTAATTCCAAAGTAGGTCTGTGCTCTAAGATGAACAAAAGAACACACATCCTAAATCTCACCAAGAGATTTGTTTCAGTTGTTCTCAGCAGAGCATGGGCTTCAGGGCCCCCAGAGTTGACACCTTACATTTTACCCCTGGCGATTTTATCTGGTGATACAGAGAGAGGAGATGATGTCACACAAGAATCAAACCATATCAGGGGTCATTGAGGGCTCATGTTTGATACTAGCCATGAAGCTTTGTCTTCTTTTGTTTGTTTTTTGGTGGTCCTGGGGTTTAAAGTCAGGGCCTCATACTTGCAGGCAGATGCTCTACCACTTGAGCCACGCCCCCAGCCCTTACTTTTCTTAAGTAAAATGTCAGAATAAGTAAATGTGCTGCACTTCTTTCTCTAATACACTGATAATAGTGGAAGTTTGTAGATTTTTAATTCTTCATGAGTCCAAGCAGAGAAAGGACTACTATGGATGGGGTCTATTCAAAATATTAACTCCAAGTTTGACAATCATCAGCAAACTGGTGCCTGCAATTAAACCCGCAGGCATGAACTTTCCAGAGTTGTAGAATTGCATCCCCATAATGCCAGCCAAGGTCCCAGAAGCAGCTAGGAAAACCCACACGTTCCTGGGATGCTGAGACAGCTGGTAAGCACCCAGGCCTGCTAAGCCCCCAAAGAAGAGCCCAGCAGCCAAGGACGGCACACTACCTGCTTTTGCATAGCCAATAATCCCACCAGTAGCAACCAGTGCTGCATAGCCAAAGCCAAAATAATGGAAAGGCACTAGTGAGCCAGTGTCCTTCTGCATTGTTCTCTCACTTGGTCCAGACAAGAGACTACACCAGGCCTATACCTTTCTTGTGAAGGTCTAGGCCAGCAGTCTGGGGTGCACAAGACACAGAGCCAAGAAACCGAGGTCTTGATCAAGGTTTCCCCATTTCTTAAAAGAGAGTAAATAAAACACACATGTACACACACACAGAGTTGTGTTGAAATACATATGTCTCTAAGTAAATGACCAGAGAAGGGACTATAATAGCAAACACTATAGGGAAGGGAGATGAGGGTGTATGTGAAGCGTAATGCTCCTATTTTACTCCAGGTACTTTTTTGTTGCTTGGCTCTTTTACAATGCATATGTGTTAATATATTACTTGCTGACAGAGAGTGGCATTCTTCAATGATCCTTGCAAGGGAAGGAGCTATTTTCAGATCTTACAGCTACCCCTGTTGGTAACAGACCCTCCCCCGGCTCTGTGAGTTTATGGGCAGGGTGGGTGTTTATCCTTGTGTGCACCAGCCAAATACAATGAGCCTTTACCAGAGTCCATGTATGGAACACCTGTTACCCCCATAAGCTCACTCCCACACTGTCCCTTGTACAGCCTACATCCACCTCCCCTGACCCCCTCATCTAAGGCTGACCATTTTTAGGAACAGTGAAGGAACAAGTCCTGACCATATTATTTTCTGGCCCTTCTCAAAAATGTCTCCTGGAAGAGAAGAATAAGGTCAACCACTGTGAGAAGAAAAACCAACAGTGGGGGTAGAGTGAAGAGTGTGGTCATTACTATGGCCTTCATCTCCCCCCAGGCGGAGAAACCTGAGGAGACTGAGGTCAGGGCTTCCCAGCATTTTCAAGCTGAGGCTTATTGAGCAACGTCAAAAGTTGCCACCCACACCTTTGCAGGGAGGGAGGAGACTTCCTCTTTAGGGATAATTTCAGTGGTATGAAGACTTTGTGAGACTAGGTGCCCTTGAGAAAAAAGGAGAGAGACCCTGGGAGCAGGTTCTTTCCCTGATGGTTTAGTAGACGCTTGCAATTTTAATCTCATTCAGAAGTTAACATGTGAATATACTGTGAAGGAGGTGAGAAATGAAGCCACGTGGATGTCAAAGGGAAGAACATTCCAGGCACAGGCCCCAAGTAGGACTCTGGTGCACTGAAAGAACAGCTAGGAAGCCACTGTGGCTGAAGCTGAATGAGAAGGGAGAGAGCAGGAAACAATGCTAGAAGGGAAGTCAGGAAGAGTTTGAGAACTGCCCTGACTCCTTTTAAGAACTTTGCCTTGTAGTCTAGATGAGTTGGGGAGTCGTTGACAGTCTGAAAACCAGTGAATGACATGACCAGACTGATGTTTCACAGGCGGGTTCTGGCTGCTGGCTGAGAACAGGCTGAAGGCCTAAGGGAGAAGGCAGGTGGGCCAGGAAAGAGGCACCTACAACAGACCAAAGAAAAGGTAAGAGTTGAACTTTTCTTAACGGGGCAACCAGCATCAGAATCACCTGGAGGCTTGTGAAGGCATACATTTCTCCCTTCCTGCCCTAGCTGCTCCCTCTGTGGGGCCCAAGAATTTGCATTTCTAAAATTCCCAAATGATAATGATACTGTTGGTCTGGGAATCACACTTTGAGAAACACTAGCTTTTCCCTCACAGCACTGATAAAAACATGCAATAAACGGTTGTTGCTCGGATGTCCTCCAGGAAGCTCCTTGCTCACTTGTCCCCAGTGCTTAGTGTGACACCTGGCACGAATGTGTATTGAGCTCAGGCTGTGGGGCAGGCACTATGTCAGTGAATGACATTCTCAAGCATCCCTGGTCTGAACTGTTTGGAGGTAATTGGTTCATAGGAAGTGGTCATTGGAGGGAAAGGATTCTTAATGACAGCAATAATAACAGGTGTGACACCTACTAGTGTCTGCCCAGGTGTTTTATTTATAGCTTCGCCAATTAAAAGTCCTGCAAGTCAGGCCTTAGCACCGCTGGTTTATGAATGAGAAAACCAACGCTTGGAGAGTTTAAGTAATTTTCCCAAGGTCACACCATTAATAAACACTAGAACCTAGACAGGCCTGACTGACAGCTCTGTGCTCTTTATATCAAACTGCCTCAAGAAGCCACTGGCAAAACGAGATCTAAAAGTGTTAAAGGACATTTACAAGACAGGAGCTCCACACTTGGGGACTATTAGCCTGTTTCAAAAATTCAGTGTACATACCATTCTTTAAAAAACGTTCACACAGCATGTTCCTGGCCTCAAGTCCTTCCTGGCAAAGCCCTGGCTCCCTATGTAGAAGTGTCCTCCACAATAAAATTGTTTTTTCTGACTTTTGTGGCTTTGATTAATTCTCCTATGGCACATTTTTCTTTAGCCCTCACCAGCCTCCTTTGCCTCCTTTGGTGGGATGACAGGCACAGTATTCTGTGCTGGGGAGTTGAAGCTCAACAAAGGCAGGCCAGCTGATTCTAAAAGAAAACCAAGCTCCAGGACTTTGCTCATTAGCCTCTCTTTGCCTACTCTATTCTAGAGGATAAAAATAGCAGCCTCTTGGGCCTCACTGCAGATGGAACAACTGTGCACTGAAGCTGGGGCAGGGGAGAACACAGCTGCTCTCCAGAGGCAGTTGAGGTGGGAGTCTTGGGGTCAGGGCATGGACCTCCCCACAGGAACAAAGTGACCCAGGCCAGGCAGGGCCAAGGAAGGACACTTGGGAGGCTCCCTGACTGAGGGGCACCTGGAGCAAGTTTGATTGCTATAATGGGCGGTTCACAAAAATAATTCACCAGCAGCTCAGACCTATATCCGTGATTCTTAACCTCTTTGGAGAGACAGGAGAAATGATGAAATGCATGTACCACATCTCTGTGTTCTCAAGCATACACGCATACACACAGGCAGATGTACACAGACACCAGCACACATCGACACATATACTTTTGCACACTCTTTTTTTTAATTGGGGGGCTGTTGACACCTGGCATGAACCACAGATTAATAACCCCAGATATAGGTTGATTATAGCTATGCAAATGAGTATAAGAAATAAAAATTTTGACTAGGACTGTTTGGGAAGCGGGGAGGGCAAAGGAGAGGATGATGGGGGGAGATTATGATCAAAGTACTTTGTATGTATATATGAAAATATAATAATGAAGCCCATTAAAATAGGTTTTAAAAGGGGGAAAGAAAGAGCAACAGAGGGGGGTGAATTCCATCAAAGTATGCATGTATGGAAATGTCACAATGAAACCCCTTTGTACAATACACACTAATGATACTAAATGGTAGTGACAAACTGACAAAAAAATAAAAATTTGTAACGTGTGAAAACAAGCTTTCTGGAAATTAAGTGTATAAAGTCTAACCTCACGAGAACAGACATGGAAATGTGGAAGCTGACCTCCGACAGTGGGATAAGGGTTATTTCTACTTATCTGCACGTTCTCACTAAACAAAAAAAAGCATGTTTCTATTTCGCAATCAGGCATTTCCGTGGACCTGGGGCGCCCACGCGGCCGCAGTCGGCCTTCCTGGACTCTCCAACGTGGAAGGAGGCTCACAGACAATGGACAAGCAAGCATGCGAATCGGCGACAACGCGAGGCCGGGACCAGCTCTTTTGGAGAGGGCTCCCCGCGAGACCTTCGCCCAGCCAGGGCGCTTTAAACCCGGGGGCTCCGGGCCCAGTCCGTCGAGCTCTGGGCGTGCGGCGCGTGCGTGCGCGTTCCCAGGACGGCGGCGCCGCGCACGCGCGCGCCCCCGCGGACAATCCCCTCCCCGCAGTGGACGATGCCGCCGAGGAGGAGGAGGAGGAGGAGGAGAAGGCGGCGGCGGGGGCGCGCTCCGGCGGTCTGAAGCGGCGGCTGGCTGCCACGGGCCGGCGGCGCGATGAGCTGGGCGGCCGCCCCCGGCTCGGGGCTGTGAGGGGCTCGGAGCCGGGGGTGGGCGGCGGCGGCTCGGCGGGCGGCCGACGTCCTTCTGGGCGGCGGCAGCCATGCGCGGGGCGGTGCGGCCGGAGCAACCGGGCTGGGGGCGCCTCCCGGGGGCCCGCGGCCTGAGCGTCCCGCCGCCGCCGCCGCTGCTGCTCCTGCTTGTGCTGCTGCTGCTGCCCGCGCCCGGCACCGCCGCCGCCCGGGCCCCGCGGCTCCCGGCGCTGCCTCCCGCGTCCGCGGGGCCCAGCGTGAGCCTCTACCTGAGCGAGGACGAGGTGCGCCGGCTGATCGGTGAGTGGGGCCGCCGGGCCGGGGCGGGCACATCGGGCTGACCGCGCTGCTTCCGGTCCCCTCCCTGCGCCCTGGGGTCGCCTTGGGCCTTGGCCTCTGTCTGCAGTGCTGGCCGGGAGGTGTGGTCCCGGTCCCGGGTCAGCCACTGGGTTATCCTCCCTTCGCCCTGCGCACCCCTCGACCGCCGCGAGAGACCCGGATCCAGCCCCTTCCATCTTCCCAAAGCCCGCGGATCTCCGGGTCCCAGCCGCGGACCGCTTTCCTTCCCTTCCGCACCAAGTTTGTCCGACCCTCCGTTGTGCGCGTCACTTTAGGACCCAGCAGTTTGGATATTTGGAAGTTCGCGTTTTAGACTAAATTGGCAAACTCTTGGTTGTGGTTTTCATACCCCACTAGGCCACGCTGCTGTGTTAATAGTTTCTGGCTCCATACTTTTTCAAAAAAAAAAAAATTGAGAGAGGGGTAAGGTTATAAGGGCATTAAATGTTTGTGCAATCTCCAGATCTTGGAGCCAGTAATCATATTTTTGAATAGTGAACGGATCGCCAGGTAGCAGATCTTTTAGCTTCTGCAGAACCTTTTTGGTGTTTTGTTGGGTTCGTTGGAATTTGGATTGATCCTGCATTTTCACGCCACTCGCCTGTTTTGAATACCTTGAAGGGAAAGGAGAACTTGGCTTTGGGTCACTTGGTGGTTCTGTTTATCTGTTTGGTTTTGTCGTTTGGAGATTTAATTTGGAAAATGATGCTGCTCTCCATTTGGAACTTGAAGTAAGGACCGGCCCCCAAAAGGAAGTCTTTGATAGTTGCAGGCACATAGATGTTGGATTTTTTTGTATATTATGACAGCCCCTTCATTTCGTCTCAGGGTGTGGTGTTTGAGGGGAAAAGTTATTCTCTTAAACATCCATTATCTTAGTTTTATTTTAGTTTAAAAAAAAATTGGCAGTACTGGGGTTTGAACTCAGGGCCTCACGCTTGCTAGGCAGGCACTCTGCCACTTGAGCCACTCCCCCAACCCTTAGTTTTTTTTTAAGGATGGAGGATCTTGAGGTCTGAGATCAACTCAGTGTTGAAATGAAATTGCTTTTAGCAGACTGTTTAGACATCGTTACATGAATGGATTTGTAGTCTTTAACCAGAGAAGAATTCTGTGTTTTTGTAATGTGCCCTTCTAAATCCTGTTTAAAGTCTAGCTGAATTAGCTGAATTTAGTCTGACGGAATTGAAGCTGAAAATGGAGTTAGTCCTGGAACATAGACTAAAGCTTAGGAAAAATAACAAATGGGTATAAATCAGTTCATATTATAGTAACTAGAATACTGATGTATTATGCATGCTTTTGTAAGGGTTTTTTGGTTAAAGGAATTTATATAATTTGTGACTGCTTACATATGTTTCTTCTCCCTTCTCAGCTAAGGGTGGTGATAGGGAATAGAAGACGGAGGATGGTATTAGTTGAGTCTTGTGTGTACCTGCCCCTACTGCTTTACATGTGTTACTTCTTTCTGATTTTCTGGTGATCCAGGTCTCATTATTCCCATTTTCTTTTTTTATTATTTATTCCCATTTTAGATATGAAAAAAGAGAAGCTTTAAGTAACTTGCTCAAGGTCACATAGTTTATATATATGTATATGAAATGTATATACAAATGAAAGTGTTAACATAGGCTGCTAACCAAGTTTTATTGAATGAATGAAGATATTGTGCATGTGGAAGTTTGATTATGGCACGGTGGAAAAGAAACCACTTGAAGTGATGTCTTTGTAAACCAGGAACTAATTTTTGTATCAGTGTTTGTAGCAAGGAAGATTCTGATTGATGAGTACATCCAGTGTGTGCCCAGCAATGGGCTGTGTGGGAATGGCAGCGGGAGCATTGCCTCCCTGAGCTTCTTCACCCAGCTCTGGGGTAAGAGGAACCCCTAGCAGTATTTTCTGTAATGCACATGAGTGGGTCTGTTATAGTGGGTCTTGAAGATTGTCCATCTTGCCAGATCCAGTTCCTTTCTTTCCATCTCTCTAATCCAGTCTACCTTTAAAAGACTCCCTGGCTCCCTCTGCACTGGGAAGAGCAAGTGGTGAGATTATACACAGACATGCCTCCTGAGAGTACTCAATGTGGTTTTCCGTGGAAACTATTATGGTGCTTAAGACTACTTGAAATACTAGGTTTGTACCATATTTTTTAATCCCTATGGGTAAAATGCCTTCTGAAAACTGGTACAAAAATTAACCATATTATAATATTTTTAAGACAATGAGTTTAGAATTCCAAGTAAGAAACTTATTATAAATTAAGTTGTAGTGACTGCTTTATACAGTGAACAAAACTGATTATATAGAGTAAGTTGTTTTAATCTAGTTAATATGTGGCACATTAAAAAAAAAAGTAGCACTAAAAGGCTTAAAACAAACAAAAATGGTATCGTGCTTTTGGCCTTTATACATTATACTCTACTTTCCAGGGGTCACTGCTGTTTCAACACGTTCTTCTGTTTATTTTTTCCTGTTTTTCTTATTTCTAAACCAGTGTAGAGTTAGCATTTGACTTCCTAGTATCATAACTGAATTGTTGCCCTGTTTTTAATGCCTAAACTCTAGTGTATTTGCTGTAAAATCAGTATTCACATTATTGTGTGCAAAGATACTGCTTACTTCTAAATTAAATAGGGACCTATGATTGTTTTTTTCCTACACATTTTTGTTTTTCCCAGAGCAAATAATTTTGTGTTAAACTTTCTGTAGTTTTCTTTGTATATATGAACATATTTCCTCATTTACTTCAAGAAACATGGTAAGTGCCTTTTGATTTTTTTTTTTTTTCCCCAGGTGGCATATCAAGTCATCTGATTGTTTCATGGGCTTTCTTCTTAGAGACTTTTTTTTTTGTACTGGGGTTTGAACTCAGGGCCTCATGCTTGCTAGGTATGTGCTGTACTGCTTGAGCCACTCCACCAGCCCTCATGTTTTAAAATTTTTACAATCCCTTTTTGTTCTTGGCTTCTATTTTATTATATCTTATTTTATGGGTATATTATTTTCATTTATCTCTTAGGTGTCTTTATGTTTAATATATTTTTGGTATTTCTCCTGCTTTCTTCTGTGTGGCTGTTCATTTTAGGATTCTTTTCTATATTTATGTAGGTCACAAAAACCTGGTGGTCCTTGGCTATAAATAATGAAGAAAGATGTTGAGAAGTCGATAGGAAGAAGAGAGCACATGTATGCTGGTGGTCTGGTGACTTTCTATGGATTGTGGGCAGACTTTTCATTGGAAATCTGCTCCAGATATCAGTCTCTTGGAGTCTTCTTTGGTACTGCTCAGTCAGTGTCTGAGAAGAAATCTCCAGAAACTCCCAACCTTTGGTGTGCTTGGTCATATACTGGCTACCAGGGTTTGGGTAACCTGATCGGAAGAGGAATGGAGGGCAGTAACCTTCTGGCTGTAGAGTGACAGTTTTCCTGCCTCTGACCCAAATTCCCCAGAAAAAACTTGAGGTCTCCTGCTGAACCTGGGTGTCCAGCTGCCTTGAATACTTGCCTAGCAGCTCACCTTGTCAGGCCTGAGCTTCAGATCAGCCTGTGATGCCTCCTTGACACCTCTGGGGCTGAACCTCTCAGGGTTCTGAGGGGCAGTGATTATTCCTAACTGCTTCCCATCTTACAAAAGTCTGTTGAAGCATTTGTTCTGTTGTCTTTCCCTTTCTGTTTGTCCTGTTATTTAATGTCTTTGTGATTCCTTTCTGTCATTTCAGAAGAGTTATGGATACAAGCTGGGGATAAAGGCTTGGCCACTCTGTGATGTGTAAATGACAGTTAAGCTTGAGCTTTAGCTTCTGATGATTTAAAGGGGCAGTTTTTCTGTAAGGACAGTTTTAAGAGAGTAACTGTGGTGGTTTCGTTGGTAGTGGACAGAGTAGCAGTGCTTTGCCTGTGGCAAGCACAAAAGTGGTCCTTGTGTTAGGTATGTATTTCCATTTTATACGTGAGTGTCTTGGGTTGCTAAAACAAAATATAAACAGGTTGCTTTACAAACAAAAGAATTTATTTCTCACAGTTCTGGAAGCTGGGAGATCCAGATTAGAACACTGTGGGTTTGGTATTTGGTGAGGGCCTGCTTTCTGGTGCACGGACAGCCCCTGTGCTGTGTGCTCACGTTGTGGAATGGGCCTTTCATACAAGGGCATTTACTAAACCCATTCATGAAGATTTTGTCCTTATTACCTAATCACCTCCCAAAAGATCCTGCCTACTTGTGCCATCACCGAGATTAAGATTTCAAGATAAGACTTTGGGGAAGACATAAAGATTTAGACCATAGCACTGAGGAAACAGACTTGGGGTAAGTCTATACCTAGCTCAGTTCCTTGGTATTGAGGCATGCAGTCCTGATGGAAGCCCATCTGTTCTGAAGACTCCCAAAGCTTCCAGAGCTTTTTATCTCTGTGTGGCTTTCCTGTGTCCCCAGGTCCTATTTCTTTGCGCTCTTTTACTGTCCTTAACAGACTGCAGTGTAGGCACCCATTTCCTCATTCTAATGGTGTAGACCTTGATGTGGGGGGGTCTTTGGAACAGTGAGTAGAGGGCCAGGCTTTGACTCAATCCTGTTTGAATCTGGGATCCATACTATCTTTTTGTCAACTCTGGAGTAGCTGCAGTTAACAAAATACTCAAGGAGTAGAATCTGTAAGCCTGCTGCCACATGTGCTTGTTTGTGGTCTTGATTATTATCTATGTACTCCCATGTTTGCTATGATAGTAGTGAACTCCATATTGGCAGAGCAGTGCCAAGGTTAGGGAATAAAATGCTGGTGGGTGGGAGGTATGGTATAAGCTTGTTATGATGACAGTGATGGTGGTGATAGGAATTTGTGGTTTCTAGGGGTCAAGATTTCTGGAAGTAGACTGTCTCTCCCACTAGTCAGAAATTCACTTTGGATAGCTTGAATCTTCTTTCAGAATAAATGCCTTCTGGAACAGTTAGCTTGTTCACATCT